TCTCTCTCTCTCTCTCTCTCTCTCTCTCTCTCTCTCTCTCACACACACACACACACACACACACACACAACCTCCTGATCACTCGGAAACAGTCTGCCACAGTCATGTTTTTTTTAGTGTATAGCGAATATGACGACCAAAAAAGAAAAAAAGAAAAAAAAAAACTGCAGTGTAACAACAACAGCCCCGCCCCCCTGTTCGTCCCTCTCCTCTGCCGCAGCGTGGCTGCGGCGGGTCCACTTGTTTTTCCTAAAAATGAGGGGAGTAGCCCCAGACATTATCAGATCCGCATTAAGGGAGTAGCCCCTGACATTGTTGGATCTGCTAGCATTTGAACTCATGATCTCTTTTTTTTCACTAACTGTTACCACGTCTAACCAGATCTTGATCTATGCCCAAACGATAGAATTCGGATAATCAGTGTCATCACGCAGCAACCATTAGGTGAAGCAAAGATTACCACAGGAGACTCTACCCCACTGGAAGTCGGCCTTTTTCCGACAATATGAATCCCCTTTATACACTTCCCTTGTGCTTTGGACGATAATTCCTACCCACTTGGAGCACACTCACGCTTGGGCGCACTACAACTGACCGATCTGTACCTAGGTTCAAACCCCAGCTCCAGCCAGTGGCTAGACCTGGATGCATTCAACAGCAATTACACCCACAAATCAGTCCAAAGAGCTCTGGTGTGACTGTGCTTTGGAAGATAATTCCTACCCACTTGGAGCCCGTTCACGCTTGAACGCGCTAATTGACCAATGTGTGCCTCGGTTCACATACACACAGAAAAGTCCAAAGAGTGCTGGTGTGAGTCCAGTCATTCTCCACACTTGCAGAAGATGCCAGGACAACAGTCACGAAGACCACAGCATTGACGCCAAACATTGTTGCTTTTGATTGCACAGCCTACAAATTCATCAATCAGCCCAAAAAGAGAACTCTACCATGCCACTTGCACATGAGCTTACAATTTTACGCCTACGTTTCTCAGACCAGATGAATGAAAATTACCACACTCACCACTTGTTCCTCAACTCTTGGCACTCTTTCTCATCTTTTTCAGTGAGGATAGCATTCCACTGCTTCAGTAACCTCTCCGCATCCCTTTCAACGCCATCCATTGCTGCTCTTGCGCACACCGTCATCGACATGCTGCCCCACAATCCATACACCTGTTATCGCCTTTGGCTCCCAGATCCAGTCAATCTTCAATCAACTCTTCATCCAACATTGAAGCCAATCAACTCTTCATTCCCCCTTTTCCTTCTCTCTCTTATCTCCTCGGTGCTCTTCCATCGACAGAAGAAACCTCCCTGTCTCTGAAATCCCCATCCAAAAGTTGCTCACCGAACATAGCTGTAGCGTCAAGGGACTGGGGCATCACCAGTCCAATAAGCAGGGAGTGACACAGAGTGAACGTCATCCACCAAATCGCAAAAACCCTCTTGACATGTCCACCTGTGAGCCACAACTGCAACGTGAGTGTCAACTTGTCAGATCCTGGACCAGGAGAAACGAAACATTCTCACCTCTACAGGGAGACATAGAGAGAGATGCAATGACCCGCAGAAATGGTAGTCCATTAGAATCCAGGCCAATTTCGAAGTACACATTCATCAGAAAGCACAATGCCGTCCAATTGCAAAAACAAATGAATGAACTTGAGAGGAGAGAGAGGGAAAGAAGAAGAAGAAGAAGAAGAAGAAGAAGAAGAAGAAGAAGAAGAAAGAAAGAAGAAGAAGATAATGTACTCCAGCATAGACCAATGATAATGCTCTTCTCCTTTGCCAACCACTCTCCTCCTCCTTATCTCCTCCCCTCTTATTCAAACAAGAAATGACAATAATAATGCTGAATGGCTGAACCAGAATCAATGTCAGAATCCCTCTTCTACTGCAGGCACAACATGAGGTCCAACATAGCCATGGCCAACCTTCCTCTTTCTCTTCATGTAGGCCAAGGCTATGGTTGAGTACTGAGGGCTCTACCCTCCTGTCCAAAGGACAACCCAAAGCAGCTACGTCGCTGCCCTCCTGCCCCAAGGTCAACAGAAGGCAGCTATGCCGCTGCCCATTCAGCCGCCATGCCTGACTCTGTCCCGAGCTTCCTTGATGCGGCACTACCCCACCTGGGGCCTTCCAGATGCAGCGCCTACCAAGGTGATGAAGATGGGGTCCACCATAGCCAGGTAGGTACCTCGCCACTCTCCTCCTTGGTCCTCTTCTCCCTCCCCCTCCTACCAGTAGAGCTCCACCATAGCCAAGGTGGAATGTTGCATACTCGTGAATACTTCAACAAGTATGGGCAGAACCAAAGATCAACCAATATAGGATGAGCATGTATGAAGCGGAAGTCTGGCAAATGGACTGACTCACATAGACTGAACTCACACAGATATCACTCAACACACAAACAATTGTGAGATGGTGGGGTCTGAGCCAATCATAGATGATGCTCAGGCCCCATACACCCATGCACAGATGAAAGGTGGGAGGAGAGACGAAGGAGGTGGGAGATGTGGGCAGCATTAGATGTCACCGATATAGAATCCAGTAGGTCACCGATATGGCAGTCCAAAATGTCATCGAACAAGATCAAAATGTCGTGGACAATAAGTCACCAATGTCGGAGGTACAGAGTCCTAATGTAACCGGTGCCCAATCTG